CTAGCTAATCAGAATTTTTAAGTATAGTTTCTTCTATTATTTCTTGCGCTTATTTTCAAGGAGGAGGAGGAGGAAGGGAAGAAATGAAAGGCAGGGAGGCTAACTAGACGCACATCCAGTTTGCTACCCTGCATTGGAGGAGGAGTGAGGGGATTAAAAGAGAAGAAAGAGAGGAGAGGTGAAGGGCACCATTTGGGTACACACGAACTTGTCAATTGTACGCCCATAAGCGATCACTTAGTCCGGTGGACTTTAGAAAACCTAGCAACGCCCGCGTCGCTTCGCTGACCTGCGAAGCGTAAAGCCATGAACCGAGGATCTTCACTTCGAAAAAGGTGTATTATCTAGTTTGTTTAACGTTTCGCGTATCATGTTGCGTGCTCTCGCAAAACGGTCACATAAACACAGTAGATGTTCTATTGCCTCGCCACCATCGCACTACTCACGTCTGTAGCTATCCGCCATTCCTTTGCGAAAAGAGTACTCCTTCGTGATAGCTACTCCTAACCACAGGCGGCAAAGCAAAGTTGCATCCCGGCGGCAGAGGTCCGATGGAACTTGAAACTTTCTCGATGGGTCCAATTTATGTAGGCGGCGTTTCCCTACACTGGGGTCACTCAGCTAAGTTTCCGACATTGTGTTAGCGAACGATTGGAGGCTCCTTGCAGCGTCGGTTCTCGACAAGGGTACTGGGGTTGTCTAGGCGTCCTCGTGGGTGGATTGGGCAGCATCATCAGCGAGGTCGTTACCGACAATGCCACAATGTCCCGGTAACCACTGAAACACTACATCATGTCTTTTCGATAAAACTTCGTGAAACACTTCTCTCATTTCATTCAGTAGTTGTTCATGCACCCTTCGTCATAAAGCTTTGTCGCCCTTTTGATCTCGTGCTGTAACAGTCGTCAGGTCATACCAGCTAACACAACCAGCCACGCTTCTAAGCTGATTGCAAGCTCTGAAGGAATGCCTTAAAGTCGCAGAACACAGCCCATTTTTGAGGCCGGGATTCCACTATATAAAGTATAGCAGCACGTAAGGTGACAAGCAGCTCTGCTGCAAATGTTGTCCTGTTGGACACTTTTGAACTTGGTTCGCCCGGATGACAAGAGTACCTGTGGAGTTGTCAGCCAAGACCAATTTATAAGTGTAAATGTGGGTACATTGGCCGTAATTTTTGTTAAGATTATAGCGACAAAGTCGCCTGTCACAGTACCACTGTTCAAAGTGGTTATTAGATCAATGGCGTTAAATAACTGCTTTAGCTGAAATTCCGCGTTGGCGTCAGTGTCATTGGTTGTGAGAGAAAAATCGTGACTGTGACTAAAAATTTGAGAAATATATAAATAATAAAGGTAACAAAAATTGCGGTTCGAAGTGAGAATCGCACCCAGCGTCTCTGAGTGGCATACCACAAAGCCCGAATAATGGTTGTAACTGCTCTATAAAAGTAAAAAAATACAATATGACGGCCGTGTAGTTGGAGGAGTCTCCTCAGCACAATGTGCGGTAGATTCCTGAAACCGCACGGGGAGGTAAACGAAGTGAATTGCACAACCAATGGGGACTTTTAAGCTGCCCACCCATTGCAGTGTTAGCAGCTGCTCAAGTACATGCGGGACTTTATGTAGCAGTATGGGATCCGTACCGCAGGATTCAGCAAAAAGAATAACTATGGCGTAGTTGGCACTTCGCAACGGTGTATATCATGCTGGACAATGTAGAATACATTGAAACAGCCAATGTTTCTTGCAGCAAGTGCTGTTGCTTTCTCCAGGCCTTGCGGTAGTGCATGGATTAAAATAAATGTGCATAGGGCCCGTTTACGCTCTTCAGGGCAAAGATCAAGTATCCAGGGTTTTATTTGAATTACATATTTAATAAATAATGAAATGTTCTCAAATAAAGCTATTTGTAGAGTAGCATGTAACGTACTAAAAAAGACAGGTATATAGAAGGCTTTTTATTGTAAGCATAACAATCAGCGAGTGCATATTCACTTTTTGTTTATCTATTTATTCATAATGTTAGCCTTAACAAGCTCTTACAGGAGTAGGTTCAAAAAATACAAGTTGGTCACTATAAATGTGCACCCTTCAATCGAAGAACGAAATAAATAATGATCAAAACATGGAAAGATAACGACAATACGACTAGATAGGACTACATAATGCAAAAAAACTTACTTGCAATTACGATACACTTCTTCTTCTTCGAAACCTTAATACAATGCTTCAAATCGAAGTATTATGTGCTAAATATTTCATTAATTTTTATTTCCGTTTGCTACAGATTATCAATAACTACAACGCTATGCTCAGTGGACATCACCACAAGTATAGTACCTTCACTAAAAGCCCTCTATACCACGTCCATGCTGTTATATTAATGAACACTGACAGCTGTATAGTGTGTAATGGTCAATTAGGCGTCAGAAAAACAGGCCACGCATGGAGACACGGTCGACATGCATATTGAAATTTGACGATCCTACGAAACACGAAAGCATAAAATGCTTAGCTAAGATACGTCTGGTGTGCGCGCACTTTGTATATTATCCAGAATACTAACAGCTAGTGGCTAACAACACGCAAGCGCAGCAAGCCATCTACAAAAACAAAACACCGACGAACACGCATTGAGCAGACTGATTTGACTAAGTTACATTCTTGAACTCGCAAAGATGGTATCAAACAAAACAAACGTGTTGTACTCCGCACAACGACAAAATATTTATTTTCGATACAAGGAGGTAACAAATAAATAATATGGAAATTGGGATTGAGTTGCGGACATTAAAGAGAGATTTTCGAGAACTACACGGCTTAACAAAACGTTCTGAATAACTTTTTGTTGACACGTATGTGGGTGAGCGCACACGCTATTTACGTGCATATGTGATTAGTGATCGCTCTCCTATATTCAACACTCGACACTTCAAAAAGCGAGTCAGGTGACGAACCAGGCTGACATGTATTGGGTAAATAAAAAAACACTACCTGTTACTGTCAAGTTGTCTGTTTGAATATTGTTCCCGAACTGATGTTACGGAGCAAAACATGCAGGCCCCCACCTAAATGCAGTGGAGCCTTCGAGAGGGTTTTCAATTTTCCCGACCAGCACGCTACACCAGGTGCGGTGGTGGGGGACAACTATAGAAACCTGTTGTGATCCTATAACAGATTTTTCTGCAAAAATTATATTAATGTTTACCTGCCTGTGTTTCGCGTTCTTCACCATCCGAACCACGAGAAAAAAACGCCAGGCCTGCGCGTAAGGCGCAGCACAGTCACAGCAAAACCTTGCACAGCGGCATTTCATCCACTTTTCTAAACATTCATTGGGTAACTACTGCAAGCACACTTGCTTGATACCCACTACGGCATTAGAATAGAATTTTTTTCGGTAGACCGCCGGCACTCGCTATGCTATTTTTTTTTGTCATTTTCTTGAGAAATGTGGTATCTGCTAAAAAGTTGCAAGGAATTTGATGCCATTTCTTCATGCAGTGGCTGATGACGATGAGAAATTATGGCTGAAGTGGGTATGTGCCACAGTTAGTAGCTGAACAAAAACAAGCCTTGTAGTGAGTTTGAGCATTGGACGACCCATTCGTTTCGCCATTCGCATTGTGCGACGACTGGTTGTTCTTTCGCTGTATTAAGACGCTTTATAAGTCGTAATAATGCGATTACTTTCCCGACATCAAGCCTGCCTAAGGCAAGTTTGCCAATAAGTCACACGCACAGGCGTAGCTCAGTGATAGAATACTGGGCTGGCATACAGTGGACCCGGCTTCGAGCCCCACTGTGTAATTTACGCTAGATTTTTTTTCTAATTTTGTGCGATGTGGTTACGGTCACGGGCGGCGGCAGTGGTTGCGGCGGGCAACTACGGTGGCGCGTGACCCGAGTTCTCTCCTAACAGCTTTCACTGTAAAAAAACTAAGATTTGCGTTTACTGCCTGTAATAAGTGAAACGGCGCTTGTGTAAGCGTTATTTTGTGCACGCCGTGTGTGATTGTGTCCTTTTGTGCATCGCTTCTTGAAAAATCATGGCTCGCCCACTAGAACATATCGAGTGAAACATAGTTTGCAAGATAGCCTCTACATAAGACGCCGAGCAGCTGACTCTATTAAACAGAAAGAAAACACAAAGGAATAACTAGCGCTTTGAGATACAATGTGACGCTAGTAAAGTTACCGATCTTGTAAGTGTGCTCAAATTGAGCTATCATTTGATTTAGTGAGACCACCTAGGTATATGCCTTGAAATAGTGATAAAATGGCGATAACATACATGGTGCCTTCCTGCAAAAAAAGCTAGAAAAGTCTAAAAGGGACATGAAAAGCAGGATTGTTAAAAACTATGCTTGATAGTGTTGATGGAAACGAAGTTGCGAAGACATTTCGGCAATGGCGCTTTATCGTTCCCTTAAAACGTACGTCAGCAGAACTTGAACGGACCAAGCCTAAATGACCGCGGTACCTCTTAATCCCCTGGAATTTTCTGCTGATGCGAAAAACAAGGACAGAACATTACTGCGGCTCAAGCGCTCTATATTTCTGCGCCATGTGAAGTGCTGAACTGTAAAGGCAGGAAACAAAAGAGCAGAAGGCTGGGAGGTGAAATCCATTGCTAAATGTAAGCGAAAATGGTGACGTTCTCCAGCTGAACACACCATTAAATATTTTAAATGTCTGTAAATTACCAAATATATACTCCGAATAAACGTGGTACTGCAGCGTGGTATTGTTCTTACTGATAGTAATATATATGTATAGAAAGCTTTTTTAAGGGACCTAGTTTTCTAATTTTATTTCCAACGGTTTCGAAGGGTGAACCAGACTTCGTCAGGGTTTGCGAACAAGTGCGGCGCACTTGTTCGCAGAGAGAGAGAGAGAGAGAGAGAGAGAGAGAGAGGAACAGAGACCACCACGGAGGTATACGGTCCTAGTGGTTTACTGAGCGTCCGAAGGTCACGGGATACAAACTCGGCCATGGCAGATGCACTCGAGGAAGGTGGAATGCTAAAGGCTGTTGTTGTACTCAGATGTAGGCGCACGTTAAAAGTTTAAGTGGTGAAAATTTCCGAAGACATCCACTACGTATCTCGCAATCATGTTAGTAATTCGAGGCGTTAAACATCGACAAATATTAATACTAATATAACGCACAGCCATTAAAGCCATTAACGAAAGAACAAGTGACATAAAGGGGTCCTCCATCCCACTTTTTTTCCATTTTCGTGCAGGTGTCGATCCCCGAGGCACCACTGTGCTGGCCACGGACGGTGGGCGCGCCGTGATACCGTGCCTAGCGAAGCTCCGTGTCGAGAGCCGCAACGATTCGGCGGTTCTTGTACGCTGGTTCCGTGGCGGAGACAACAGCACCGAGCCTTTCTACAGCCTCGATGCACGCTCGCGCAGGGGTGGCCTCTCCAAGGGGCACCACACCAGGGGCGAGGCATGGAAAGGCCGTTCTTTCTTCTCGGTACTTCAGGAGCCTCCTAGTCTGAAGGTAAACCGAGTGGACTACGCTGATCGCGGCACGTACGTCTGTGACCTGCTCTACGCCAGCGGCAGGAGATACAGCGCGACCGTCGCTCTTGCCGTGTTCGGTAGGTATTTCACTCGTTGAAGTTTTTTCCCGAATTCCACTGTTAGCCAGTAATTGGTAACAGTCTCAGAGCACAACTATTACACGGGCAATCTTGATCCCGATCAGGACAGATCTGAATCCCAATCAGATGCTGCTACAGGTAACACGACACTAGAATCGAAAACAATTTTTGCACAATATTTTTGAAGTACCATTTCACAATCTCACTAACACCGTGCTGACACCACGCTCAGTGAGCAAGAAAACGTGGAAAAAGGAAATGGGAGTTGGCACGCCACCCTGATATTTCCGTATCGAACACCGATACGTCATAAAATTAGAGAGAGACTACTGGGTCCAACGTAACTTGTAATTGATAAATATGAAGCACATTGTCATCAGTGGTTCAGGGGTTGCCATACACCCGGCATACGATGTTTGATAAATTTTAATCAAGCCAGTCTCACGGGAAAGCGAAAAATAAATTTGAGAATTTTTGGCAAAACTTAAATATCAAGCTTTAACCTGAGCTTTCTCCGCTAAAAATGAATCTATGGTACTGTACCATATAATGTTAGAGTTCTCTGAGTTAAGTTTGTTAAAGAAAACTAAGTAACTGATTCTCTTTATTGTCATTTTAAGCCTTATCATGCCCAACCAGGGTCAAGGCGATTGCGATCGGTGCCATACTCGCTCTTAGCATGAAGCAGTGAGGATTTTTGAAGGTGAACAAAAGTGCCAGTGTAACATCTGTTACAAGCTCCGTCCACAGCCATCACTGTCCAGCCTAAACTAACTTCCTCATGTTTTTGACGTTAAAAAAGAAAAAAACTACCCGCCATCCCATTCTGCGAAAGGGAGAAAAAGAAAAGCTGTATTGTCCAGAAAAGCTGTATTGGATTCCACACACACAAAGTTGGGGAAGGGAGGGTCAGTATGCTTGAGTATTCATTTAGTGTATTCGTAGCGCTAATTGCATAGCCGCTGTGGTAGACAGTGATTGGTTCAACATCTACTTTCAGCAAGACGAATTTGTTCCTTCCGTGAAGCCCTGTATTCACAATGTCCTTGTGATGTCTAAGACGAATGTCGGTTTTATGTATTGAAGCGGAAACATAGTGGTGAAACGTTTAACGCCATTCGAAGCCCCCGTATGGATTGCTAGGCAGTTGCTATTTAATCTTTACCGGGAACGTGTGAGAGGGCGTTCCCGTTGTTTACAGGTGCCTTATCACCCAGCATGCAGATTTGATGCTGGTTTCGTGGTTTTCAATATTGAAACGTGTAGTGTACACGCATCCCGAAAGAGTACGTCTACTAGCATGTGTTCGGTCTGAGCGAACAACAGGGCCGCCTTGACCATCGCCTCGCGTCACTGACGCCGCTGCACACGCGCGTTAAAAAAACCAAGGCGCCGAGCGTGGCAATTACACAGTACGTACTGCTCTCAAACAAGTCACTGCACTTTCTTGCTGCGCTCAAACCAAAAACTCAGTGCAGCGCCCATTGCAAATGGCGTTGGGAAAGCAAACGAGGCTTATTGACGCCACGTGCGAAAAGTGACACGCAACGGGGGCCGCTTGCACGTCTCCTTGGGCAAAAGGATTCACGGTGACATGCGGCTGAGGGAAACGGGCTCTCGTGACTATGCTCCGAGCTCTCACGATCAGGGACAACAGAGTCCGATTGTTCTAGCAAGGGCAAACTGCGCTCGTGTTGGCTTTGAGAGGTACGGGTTGGCATAGTATCACCACGGGCAAAACCCCGCACCGCTTTTCGGCCCGTTCAGAAGAGACAGCGAAAGATAAGCGTTCGCCGATGGTGCAAGGCACCCTTGAAAAGTCCAAGAGAGCTCCAAACAAAGGGAGCCAATGAACAAGAGAGAAGTGCGTGCTCACCTTTCATTGTCCGGAGTGTTTCTCTCACTGGCTTCCATCACGCGCGCCAGATACGTCCCGGGAGGCTTGAGCGCAGAGCCATAGTCAACTTCTGCTGCCGGAGGGCTGACAGGCGGACTAGTTGCTACAAATTCATAATGGAGTAATTGGAAGCGCAAACCAACGGGACACAAGAGAAGAGACAAACAAGCGCTTCTTTGTCTCTTCTCTTGTGTCCCGTTGGTTTGCGCTTCCAATTATTCCATTATGATTCTGCTGCCGGATGACACGGGTTGACCATATAGTTTCCTGAAATCAACTAGAGCCAGGGTTCCCTCTAGTGTATATTTGGGAAACTCTATGCGGTTCACATCACTCCCACTATGCCGAGGACCGAGGAGGAGGAGAGTCACATTAGAACATGATAACGACGACAAAGCCCGCACAATGGCGCGGGCTAGCCTCAATTCCCACAAACTAATTAGTGAAAAGGTATGCTGTATGCAGGATAACAAAAAAAACATATGTCTATATATGTCATTCGCCTTCAACCACTTAGAGGTGAAAACTGAGTTGTAACGTTGCAGCTGCGCACGAGTCTGCAGCAAACCTCCAAAAGGGGGAAATGATGCAAATAATGTACGTCCTGGCCCACTTCGCCATAGAAGGCAACGCGTTCACCCACCAACAGGCCCGAGCGCAGTTACGCCGGGCCACCCTTGTGAAATGCGAGGCCGAGAATAAAAATAGCCAACCAGTTGTGACATTCAAAGACGAATTTTTACCACAACGAGTTTTATCGCAACGTTTTATTCTGAAATATACCACAAAGTTCCTGTGCACCTGAGTGGTAGTCCGGGACGCCTTTGGAGATCACCGCTGCCCGGGCACGCACCATCAAGGGGCATTGCGCATACAAGGTAGAGCAGCCGAGCAGGTACTCCTCCGAAGCCTTCTCTATATTTGGCATGCAAAAGGGGGATAAGAAAGGGAGTTGAGTGGCAGCACACGAAGCCACAGCGTGAAAGGCATCGGCTAACACCTGAAAAGTTGGACATGAGCCAGAGATTTCCGGTATGAAGTGCCGGGTAGCCACTGGACTAAGGAAAGTATTAATCTGAAGGCGGCGTATAGCAGTCGTTTCTCCGCTTTCGCCCGACCACGTGCGGGGCCAGGGTAAAGTCGGCGCGAACTGCGGTAATAATATAGGAAATCACGGTAGCCTGTGACCATCGGGGCCACTGGCCTGGGTTGGATCACGGGAACTCACGTCTGTAGCTCTTCCGTCCACCTCTTTGAATGTCCTTCCTAGCGTCCTAGGTGAAAACGCGAGGAGCACACGCATCGGCTAGCAGAGAAGCAGGCGAGCTCGACTCAGGAGCCTGGTGTTTTCATTTTTTTAATTTTTTTGTCCACTGAGACATCAATCGGGGGTAGTGGTATGTAGCTTCTCTGTAAAACCTTTCGCGTTAATGAGGTTGATGCCAGTACCATAGGCATGTTCGTGTCACTGGCTTTTAGTCTAAAACCTACATTAGTATAGCTTATGAAAAACCTAGACCCATTTCTAAGCAAAGTATACGCTAAACTATCTGTTGCCATGTTCCTTGATATGAAAGGCATATACGACAACATTCTTCGTGATACCATACTCGAACCCATTGAGTCACTGGGCCTGGGTGATCAACTGTATTGTTGGGCACGCTGTTATTCACTTTGGTGGACACTATTTGAGAACAATGCATATAGTCCAATTTTCCAACCCCCCACGCATTGTGGAGTTCCACAAAGTGGCGTCTTGAGTACAACCTTCTTCAAAATCGTTCTCATTGGTCTTATGGAACGACTACTGAACGTGGTCAAGCAATCTTTGTGCGCTGAAGACATGTGGCTCCAGGCATCTGGCGTGACAAGATCTGAGGTACGCACAAGCCTTCAGAAAGCTGCGACCTTAGTGTCGGTGTACCCTAATGAACAGGATCTGAATATTTCACCTGCGAAATGTGCATTGATTGCTTGTAGTCGAACGCCAATGTGACAATGCTCTCTATATCTCGACGGCCAAGTAATATAATTGTCAGGACGCACAGATTTCTAGGCTTATTAAATGCGAAGCATTTCTTAACGAACTTCGGCGACATTGAGCGTATCTATCTATCTATCTATCTATCTATCTATCTATCTATCTATCTATCTATCTATCTATCTATCTATCTATCTATCTATCTATCTATCTATCTATCTATCTATCTATCTATCTATCTATCTATCTATCTATCTGTCTGTCTGTCTGTCTGTCTGTCTGTCTGTCTGTCTGTCTGTCTGTCTGTCTGTCTGTCTGTCTGTCTATCTGTCTATCTATCTATCTATCTATCTATCTATCTATCTATCTATCTATCTATCTATCTATCTATCTATCTATCTATCCGCCTACGACTTTTAGCTCTCCTGGCCGTTTCGATAATGGTGTCGATACCAAATTCGGTATGGCATAACATGGCTGTATGACGAGCATATTTAAGTAGTCATAACATGAAAATAATGACACTCATGTCATGAATGTCATGATTTACACTTCATGGTCCTTCAGCTGTTTGGTGGTTCCGTTCACATGGCATGTTGCAAAACTGGTATGGTATGACATGATTGCATGGCAACCACAATGACAGGCCCTAACATAAATATTATGACATGCGTGTCATCTAACAACATGATTACATGCCACGCTCACGATGCGCTCGCGGCCGTTTCGCTAGCATCACATATACCAAATTTAGATTTACGGTACGTGAATGGTTGACGAAGGTATGTGACTGGTGCAAACATGATAATCATGAGATGCGTTTCATGTAACGGCATGAGTACATTCCACACTCATAATGCTCTCGCGGCCGTTTCGATAGCTTCACTTATACCAAATTCGGTATTACGGAATGGAGGACGAAGGTATGTGACTGGTGCAAATATGATAATCATGAGGTGAGTGTCATGTAAAAACATCTAGATACCAAACTCCAGGCACCAATACACTTCCACGTGACCCGGCGCACCTGCGCGCCCGCGTTCGTTTTGTCGCGTCATGCCGGCACCTCCATGCCATGCGCGGATGTCGTGCTGCGTTGCGTTGACGTATGCGCGTTCG